ATCTTTTTTTATTACTTTAAATCGATTGACATCGAATGTTACACAATATAAAAAGATCAACATTTGATTTTATCACCTCGTGATATTACGAATGTCCATTATGCTCTTGTATAACTAACAAAATTTAAGATAACCAAGACTCTTTAAAAAAAATTAAAAAAAAATCAAATTAAGAAAATCTAAATTACCAAGCATTAGAAATAAGTAAATAAGAAATTTATATTGATAATGATATGGTTTTAATAATTTATTAATTAAATAAGTTTTATCCTATATAAAATAATTTTTATAGAATCAAATCATAATAATATTTTAATAGAAAAAAACTTACCTTTGAATACTGAATCTAATAAAAATGTTTCGTTGAATATTGAAAATGAAGATCTAAATAATATATCATTATTTTCCAATAATGCTTCTTTTATTCACAATATCTCAGATATTGATATTTATAATATAGATAAAAAAGGGGATGAATATCAAAAAACCACAAACAATAAAGAAGGTATTTAAAATATATCATTAATTTTATATTTCTATATTATATAAATATTAATTTTTTTTATTTAGATCCAATTATCTTTGATCGTCAAAGTATTGATATGATGTTTTAAATTATACGAAAAGGAGTTGAAGCTTCTATAAGAGCTGAATAAGCTGCTAATGTTGCACTAATAATTGATGAAAAAAATCAAACCACATTGGTTGAAATTAATGATCAAGTGTTACGTCTAGCAAAATCATTACAAGACTTATGGTAGCAGGTGTGTGATAATTTTTTTAAAGATATATTTAAATCGAATAATTATCTAAATACTGTATATTACAATCTGTTTTTAGGTTCTTTTTAAAAATGCATCTAAATCTTTATTAAAAACTGCTATATATCCTACAAATCCTAAGATGTGTAATATTATTGATACTGAAATAAAATTACAAAATTTACCACAATGGTAAAATTATACATATATACAGTGGAAATATTTACTTGAGCACAAAATTATTCGTCAGGTTGTGTCATTTTTTAATTTTGTTTTATTTATTTAAACGTTATCTACTAAATAAAATTTAATTATGCAGTTTATAGATCAATACTGCTATGCTCGTGGATCACTCACTGAAAAAATCAAAAATGCTGTATATCAAGTCTTTGCACAGCACAACCTACCTACTATTAAATCAATAGGCGGATGGGCAAAATGGAAGAAATTATCTATGACTGAATGGGCATTTGATCATCTCGATGATCCAATTGATTCTCAAGATCCTAGTGAATATTCTAAAACTTATATGGAAGCCATAATGGAAAAAGTATTTCCTAATGAATCGCCTTCAAATAATTCAACAGCATATATCATGGCTGTTATTTATTTATTCTTGGATCCTCATAGTGGTATAGTAGAGATGAATGAAAGAATAGTGATACCAAAGATGATAATTTATTTAGTGAGTGTCACTTGTGAATTGTGAACTAACCTAACATTATGTTAACTTTGTTTTTTAATTTCAGGATGAATTAAATGAAAATGTGGAAGATTCAAATTAGGAATTCAATATAAGATTTATTTTCATGTTGCTACTTATTACTTATTATTAAAAATTTAAAGATTAATAATATATCATTTTACTTGTATTTACATGCATTATGAATTCAATAAAAATTTACATAATTAAATATTATCGTTATATTGACAATTTTTACAAATGAACGTTTATACTAACTGAAAAATAGATGTTAAATTAACAGTTTTTAGATACACATAACATGATGTCCAACCTGCATAGAGTCTATCAATTAACATTTATTAGACATATGTCCAATAATAGTTACCGGTCTCCTTGGAAATTTAGTGATGATAGCTCACCATACCATACTTGTTTTTTCTTGTTCTTTGGACTCTTTGGACTAATTCATTTATTACCGATATAGAAATTTATTATTACCGATTAAATGATATATATCATTCGTATTAAACATGATTAAAGGCCAACCAATATATAATTACGCAGAAGCAATTTTTTACATAATAATCATTAAAATTAACTAGATAATTTTGAATTGCTTCAAAAAATAGATGATTATTATCTTTCCAGTAAAAAATATCTGAAAGAAAAGCCAATGGAATTTTATTATAATTTTTTCTTTCCCATCTTAAAGCAAATGTCCATAATCTAAAAATTGTACTTATATATTGATCATAAGATCCAGATCGAAATATTATACTATAGATATCTAAAGCTGCAGGTGTTAAATTATCTAATATATCTATTAATGTCTGATATTCAATATCTTTACAAATTGGTCCAAATTTATTAAAAATTTCTGTAGCAATTTCAATCCATGCTGAATTTGCTA